CATTTTTCATGTTTTTGGAAGGGAAGAATCCGAATTCGTCGGTATTTTTTAGTGAACATTATGCTTACACGGATTATCGAGACTTTCAAATTAAACTTCAATTTTTCCGGGAGCTGTAGAAATTTTGTCTTTTGTTTTTTTTTTCGTATTTCAATTATTTATGAAGATATTTACAGTTGCCTCCTTTAGACCATCAGTGGACAGGGAGTTGCCTTTCGTAAAATTTTATGTTATATCGTTATAACACCTGTCTTCTGGTCTCATTATTTGTCGTTTTATATCAATTTCTAGTACAACCGAGTGGGATTGCGGCAAATTTTGGGAATTATCTTCTTGATGAAGAAGATGACATCAAAGAAGTTCTGAAACAAATTGACGACAATGAGGAGGTTGATAGTAACTTCGAGGTAGCATCAACATCAAGGCCAAAAAAGTTGAAAATCATGACTCCGGACATCACCGCGATTTTGGATCGAGCCAAAATTGGTGATTGGACGGTGGCACGTCTGTTAGCAGCTGCTCTTATGAAGTTTGGCATAACTTTGGACGACGTTCATTTGAGCCGTGAAACGGTACGTCGAAGCCGCCAAATGCATCGAAAGTCGCTCAGTGACACAATCAGAGAAAATATGAAGAACAGATCTTGTCACATTCTGACGGTTCATTGGGACGGCAAAAGAATGTCAGCGCCTGACAACAAATTCGAGACAATTGATCGACTTCTAATTCTCGTGTCTGGACATGATTTTCAGAAGCTACTCGGTGTGCCGATGATCAAAAGTGGAACTGGGCAAGGGCAGGCCCAGGCTATATACCATAGCTTGGAAGAATGGGGTATCCTGGACGAGGTCTGTTCTGTGGTCTTCGACACCACTTCTAGCAACACAGGAAATGAAAAAGGTGCCTGTATTCTGCTGGAAGAAAGACTTGGAAGGGACTGTACATGGCATGTCGACATCACGTCTTCGAACTTCTCTTGAAAGCGGTGTTCGAAGCTTCGATGGGTCCTACGTCAGGTCCTGACGTCTTGATTTTCAAACGCTTTCAAGAGCAGTGGAGCAACCTGGATAAAGAAACCTTTTCATCGGAAGTCGCTGATCTTACTGTGAAGGAAGCCTTGGAGGCTAACATAACAGACATTCTCGATTTTGCTGAAGCACAGTTGAAGGTTAGTCACAAGTCTCTGAGGAGATGAATTTGTTAAATTCACACTTTCGATGTCATTACTATCCCAGATATCAAGTTAAAGAATCACATGAAATACTTTTTGTTTGTCTACTGTGTAGGACAACAACATCGCCAAGGATTATCGAGAATTTTCGGAGCTGGTGGTGTTGGGTCTTGGAGGAAATCTGCCCAAAGGCAATCGATTTCGGGCATTGATTCCCATTCACCATGCCAGATGGATGGGGAAGGCAATCTATTCTTTAAAAAAAATTTTATTCCGGGATCAGTTTCGTTTAACGGCTGCAGAAAAATCAGGATTAATTGATGTGTTCATTTTCGTCGTCCTCGTGTATCACAAGGTTCGGTTCACAGCTTCAAATGCAGTAACAGCTCCCAATAATGATTTATCATTATTAAAAATCTTAGTGAAGAATGCAAATTTTGATAGGCATGGAAAAATTTACAGGGCTGCATTGAAGAAATTAGTGAATCACCTGTGGTACTTATCAGAGGAGTTGATAGCTCTCGCTTTTTTCGATGAGAACGTGAGCGCAGATTGCAAGAGAAACATGTGCCAGGCCATGAAATCTCGATCTGCTCTGACGGATGATCAGAAAAAACGAAAAGTGGAAATCAACGACTCAAAATTTATCGAACACTGTACTTTGGATGATTTTGTTACGAAAAATACCGTAAAATTTTTCGAAATTTTGAAAATTAATTCTGATTTTTTGAATAGCGATCCTATGACATGGGAGACGAGAGATGATTTTGTGACAGCTTCCAAAATTGTCAAATCTCTTCATGTCACAAACGATATTGCTGAGAGAAGTGTATCTCTTGTGAGCGAATACAATGATCTGCTTACAAGAGATGAAGCCAGCAAACAAAATTTGATATTAGTTGTTCAGAAATATCGAGAGTCATCATCCAATTACAGGAAAAAGGACTTGAAGTTTTCATTGGAGAATTTTTTAAATAATTCCAATGAGCCAATGAACGACCTCGAACCTCGAACGACTGATATTAAGTTGATTATTGTCAATATTAATAACTAAAGAATATATCGAATACGTATTGTATTTTATGTGATAATATCAATTTATTATGATTCAATTTTTCTCCAGCCTTGGGAAATTAACAATAGTGGTGAAATTTTTCGTATAGATTTGTATGGATATTGTACTTACAATTATACGAAATTTCAAAGAATCAATAGAATTATTTTATTTCATCATTCCTCCCTAATTGACCGATTTCAATCATTCAAGTTTCTCCGAGATTGTTATCAAACAGGGAATCTCACAATGCTAACGTCGCATTGAGGTTCGAAAAATAATTAATTTAAAAAATTGGAGATGAAAATGAGGTACGATGATTTATGGGGGGTGACTACAGGCAAACACTCATCCGGGAAAAGGTCTCGCCAGATGGCTGGCCTTCTCGGTTTCAGGTAATGGCCCGCAGTAAAAGTTGTCAGTGATCCGAACACTTGTCGCAGCCTAGAAATTTGTCAATGTTCTTTAGCATTTTTCTCTGATTCAACATGAAATGAACGATTCCTTCTATCCTCAGATAATAATCAGATAGTTGAAGAATCATTCTACCAAAGTTGAACGATATCAGAGCATTTTTAAAAGCATTTAAGGGCTCTCCAAAAGTCTCATTTTATGCGAAAATCGGACTTTGTAAATTAATAACTAATCATTAAAAAAATCCGAAAAAAAATTATCAGTTTCCTATTGTCGTTTAGATGAAATATCCAATTGAAATTGACAATGATTTGAATTGATTCTAATTTAAAGAGTGCAATTAAACTGGATCCACTTGCTCGCATGTATTTTGTAATAAGAAATTCAAACGCCCGTTGCTGCTAGAAGAAATTGTTTTAAAAATTTGAAAAATTTCATTGTGCTTTGTGATGTCATGAACCATCGTTTGCAATTATGTGACAAGTGAAAATTTAAAGTAGGTCATATGAGCATGTCTAATGCTCATGGTTCTTGAAGACATCGTAGTGAGAATAATGATGCCGCGAGAGACTTTACGAGACAACATTTTGGAGAGATGGTCTCAATGAATGTGGAAATCATATATTTATCAAATCAAATATTCATTTCGATTGAATTCAAATATAACTAAGGAGAGTGGGAAATTATGGATTGATATTTGGAGTGAGGGGGGGACGACAATTGCTCTATCCCACTGGAATTGTTTAACTTATATCAGTTCCGCTATGTTGTCTGCGTTGGCTCCATGCTTCTGTCTTTTGTACTTAGTCAACAGAGGAAACCCTTATTACTACACAAGAATTATCTTTATTAACTGCTTCGTGAAAATCCTTCCAAAGTGACCTGGAGATGCATTAAATATGGAAAAAACAAGCAATGCAGCTGCTTCATTTACACAACAATTTGTTGTTTGATGATAATTGTTTGAATATGTGATTAGAGTGTAAAAAAACTACATTGATTATATATCGTTCTGCTCATGAATTTCTTATAGTTTGATTATGAAGATAAATTAAAAATGAAGTACATGCAATGTAATAAAATAAAACTCAAATGTATATTATTATTCCGAGTTATTATTCCGAGTTACTCTTGTCTGAGTCATTTACGTTGGTGATATTTTTGTGTGTGAGATTTTCGTTTCTGTTATTCTCGTTTGTGTTATTTTTGTGTGTAATTTTTGTTTGTGTTGCGGAGATATGGAATCAATTAGATTTGTGAACTTGAGTAGTTTCATTCAAAAATGGATGAATCCAGTAATTCAACAACGAGAATTTCATTAATGTGAGAACCCGAATGTCTTCCATCCAAGAACCTAGATTTGCCTGCACAAATTTTAAAGAAAATTTTCTGTACACTTTTTAATTTTTTTTATCAAATCATAGTTCCAGTGAAATTTCTAGGAGTTTTTCACTGAACATACGTTTTTTTAAAAAAATGAGTGGAAACTTTCCAGTTTATTTCAATTGTTTCATGAAAATTTACAAAAATCAAGAAAATTTAAGTATGTATACTGTTAAATTTTTAATTAATTGAAAACACAGCGTAATTCGGTGCTGAAAGACAATGTTGCTCAATATTACTCATCCGAAACATAATATTAAATTATCCATAAAATTTAAATTTTCCGCTAGCAATGTAAGAAAAGCGAAACCTTGATTAACTGTCAAACTGCATAGTAACTTTTTTACCACTTTTTACTTCCACATTGATCCATTGGACCTACAATTTTCGTCAAATATCTGAGCTTCTCTTTCCGATGACATGGATGTTCATAGCGCATGATAGTGGATATATCTGTCACAGAAATGCATAGTTCTGCAATTTTGCGAAAACAGGTCATCAACTGAAATGTTTTTCGGCAGAGTTTTGATTATTTCGCTCTTTCATTAAGATATTAGAAGTGATCAAATTGTATTTGATGGATGAAGAGTTAGTACTAGGCATTGAATCTGAGAGTTCATAAATTTTTTTGAAATAGATGGTTATTTTGCAGTAGCAATAATATATTTGAAAATGTATTCAGACCGGGTTCGTTTGACCCAGTGTGCGGTTTGAGGGTTATTTGCAGTTCTACTAGATTTGACTAAAAAATTTCCCTTTACGCACCAATGATGAAAAAATTTAAATTTGTTTTGCTTATTTTTCTACATTAAAACTGAAGCAGTAAACTCATCAGCACAGCAGATGGAGGCGACAGCGATTTCAGAAATTTCAGTGCGGTCTTCCCTTGAGACTTACAAGAGATACTATGATTTCCCGGAGACTCAGATAGTTCAAATGCTACCGATTACATGCTTATAATCGTAATTATATACATACCTTGTGCAACGGGTATCCCACAGATTAAAAGGACTAAACCAATTTCCGATAATAGACCCATGTTCTTAATGGAACTGAGAATAGAATGGGTGTTTGAACGAGTTATGCAGGGTTACTGATGTTTTCCGTTCGGATTTTTTAAATAGCAAATGAACGAGTTGTGACATGCAAGTGAATTTATACTCCGACGAGAATCAGTGAGTTTCATGGAACCATGTTATTATTGTAACAATACTCTAGTTCATAAACAATTTGGACTGCACGATATCCACGCCTATCACATGGAGTCAACAAGGACATTGATGATTGGAAATAATAGTGTTTTCGTTCCTAATGTGGTCTTGAACGATGATATATTTACAAAAAAAGTGTTTGTCACAGTGAAAAGTCGTGGGAAAGAGTTGTAGAGATACTCAAGTGGATATTTTGGACAGGTCCAAGTCAAGACTGGATCAGGTCAAGCATGAGGATTGATCAGAAAATGATATGATAACTGAATCAAGTCCTGATCAGTCATGTAACGCGGTTTTTAATCAACACTTGATCAGGGATAATGATTATGGAATTAATCAGGCTAAATGCATTCAAACCGGATGACCGGTCCACCGGAATTAATAATAATTACTAATTTTAATTAATTCAAAACAACAGATAATTCAATTTTTTCACAGTAGATCGCCTTTCTTAATGAATCCCTACCGTAGTTATTATTATTCAGTGACTCTCTTTTGCCTATACGATCGGTATCGGGATATTTGTTAACTTCGAAATTATTCATGATCTCACAGATTTGCGTGTGTATTCTGGGAGAGAAAATTTGTTCAGTTGAAATTTTATCCATTTCATTAATGAATAATAATTTCAATAGTCATATAACACTAATGAACAGATAGTTTGATGAATTTTTCTTACTCAAAATAATTTGCTTGTAAGTCTAATAATTCTACTATATATATTTCTGGTACCATCCCTCCCTACACCCGTATATGTAATTAAAGCTCTTCAATAAATAAATTGAGAATTAATATCAACAATTCGATTCTCGGAAAACGTTTGCTCAAATTAAGATCAGGTGGGCCGCATCCGAGCCTTATCAATTTTTCTTCAATTGACCCCGTTCAAATAAAAATTGAGTGCATCAAATCCAAACCGGATTAAATTGGGTTTAGGCAGCCTAATTTCAGACTGAGATCGGATCTACCTGATCAAAACTATACCTGAGCCCGCCTCCAGATTTTGGGATCCGACCCACTGGATCAAAACTTGGTTGGTTCTCATCAGAAATCACTTGATCAGTCAAAACTTACAAAAACAGAATCAAAATATGAGCGTCCTTCAGATTCATCTGAAACAACTTCCACTCGGGTACTCATCAGCATAATTCCCAAAAAATTTTCTTCGAAATTATGTATCAAAACACTCACATGAAATTACAGTAAATTTTGGAAAAAAATGAATAAATATTATTGGGCCTAGTGTATCAAATTTATTGCCGTATTCTGCAGACATATATATTGAGAAGATAATAGTACGTTGTGAATCAAGGAAGAAGAGTTCAGGATTCGCGTCCGAATTGCACAGACCCTTTTCCCAGACATTGGTGCAAAGTAAAGTCCGTATTTTCCTTCTTGAGGAGTAGAAGCAAAGTACAAACTTCGTTTGCAAGTGTTCAGAAATAATATATTGCTAACCTAAGGATGTAAAATAAAAGAATCATATTCTCGCCTTCGGGTCGAATAGCCATTTTACCCCTGAGTAGAGCACCTTGATTTTACTTCTATCGGGCTTGTACCTAACGCATTGAGGAATTTAATATACTCAATTTCAGGACAAGAAATATTCTATATTGAATACAAATTGTGAAAAATATAGAAAATATTGTGTAAATATATATAAATATATATTGTTCTCATATTCCTTTCGTAGTTTCAAATCAGCCCCTATCTTGACAATTCCATTCGTTTACCATTTTGATGAAAGTCAGCTCTCTCAGTTTGAAAAATAATAAGTAAGCCTCTGAAGAATCGCTAAATGATGTCTTAGACTTGAAAGTCACCTCTTACTCTATGAACTTGTTTTTTAAATATATTTTTGTATCTTTGTATACCTCTGCACCCCCCCCCC